TGGGCCCGGGTCCGCGCGGCTGCACAATCCGAGCCCCCGCCCCGCGCCCCGTCCCGCCCCAGGCCCGGGCCTGACAAAGAAGCGCCTTACGTTACTCCGCCCCGCGCCCGCACCCCCGGGCTGGGCGCCTGTATTATACTTTGTACTTTTGCCCAAACGTGTAAATAATAAAAGTTTTGGCTTTTTTCTTTAGAAACCGGCCACCTGCTTCCCCTGCGGGGCCGCTGGAGGAGGGGCAGCCGGCCCGGCGACCGGGGAAGCGCCCGGGGGCCGGGGGCACCCTGCGTTTAGGCTGGGGTGTATGCCTCTCCTTTTCCGTTCCTTTTATTTAAGTCGTTTTATTTAATAAAAAGTTAGCTATTTCACTTAATGCCGCTTTTATTTCGTTTTCGTTCCTCGAACGCTCGGTGACCCCGGCCCTTGCGCCCCACCCCTATGGCGATCGCAGCCGGTGTGCGCGGGCGCGTCCAGGTCTGCGAGCTACACTGGCTTCGCCCCAGCCCGAACCCCGGCCCGGGGCCCTGCGGAGGATGCGCCGTGCAGGTCAGTTTCAGAAGCCGGTTGCGGCATGGGGAGTGGACCTGGGATCCAGCACCGCGCTGCTGGGAAGGCAAAGTTCCGGCCTGAGCGGGTTCTGAGTCGTTGCAGGTCGAATCCACCGAGTGGGTGGGAGTAAGAGGAAACGTTGGACACTCTCATACCCAGCTTTGGGCTCTTTCCATAGGCCGGGCGCCACTCGTAGACCCGGCTCTGAGGAATCTGGGCACCCTGCGAGCACAGGGCCCGGGCACAGTCCGAGCTTCTAATGCCTGGGATTTTCGCAAGATCCCAGGTGGAGCATGACGTTATACGACGTCACAACGATCTTTCACTGCATCACTTAACAAGAGGGACCCAGGGTGCCCCAGCTCCCAGAACCCTAAGCCTGAGTGTAGCAGCAGCCTGGCGTTGTCCTCTCAAATTTCCAATGGCTGAACTTTGGAAGTTTCTAGATTGCGAGATCCAGAGCGAAGGGCCCCTGCCAACCACGATAAACATGCACCGCGTCTCTTGATTTTTTGCCCCCTTTATAATTCTTGTGGTCTTTTAAAAACATTTTTTTTTATATTTTCCGGTCTCGCCATTCTTTCTCTACCATATTGTCCGTTCTCTCTGTTTATCCCCCGTGCTCTCCGTACTCTGTTGTGTGTGTACGCTGTTGTTGCCGTGATTTCTTTACGGTTTCACGCTTCTCTTTCCAGTTTGTCCTCTGTTGCCTTTAATTTCTCCGAGCGCATTTCTTGATCGTGGCCACTCTTCCGATTCTACTCGGATCCCTTCTCCGCCTTGTCTCTTGTCTGTTTGATGTCCCTTCCTGCTTTCTCAGAATCTCTTCGCCTCCATTTCAGTCTTTGTCTCTTTTTCCTGTTTTATTCTTCTCTTCCTCCCTCCTCCAGACTTTAGCTCCCAGCAGCTAAACACTTTGGGGGGGGTGTCCTCCCCCTTCCCCAGCAGTCCCACCCCACCCCGGTGTGTCTCTCAGAGCCAAGCACCACCCTGCGGGCTGTGGCACTGGGGAATCTTCGTTATAAGCGGGCTAAGGAGTTGACAGCCCTTACGAGGCTAAGGGAGCGAAAACTGGACTAAGAGGACGCCCCTATCCCAGCTCCTGCCCTCGCTTGCACCTCCAAGCCCTTCTAACCCTAAGTCTGCGCCTCTTGGAACTTAACAGACGCCGGGGGAGGAATTAGGGTAGCTCAGACTTCGGGTTTCCTCCCGAGACGTTTTCTTGAAATGCTCTCGTTTACTCTGCTGAAAAGCTTTTGAGGAGCGTGCTCGGGTGGTGGGAAAGGTTGGCCCTTCGGCTGGGGAGGTGGCCCTTCTTTGCCCTGGCCATGGGCTCCTCCCTCAGGGCTGGCGTCTCTGTCTGGTTCCTCCAGGATTTCCTCTATTGCGCTGTAATAAGGCCTACCGTTTTTACTTTTCTAAATTATGTGTATTGTTTTGACAGGGTCAACCTCGATTCTTAAACCTCTGGGGGCACACACGTTGTCTTTTCCTTCCTTGCAAGCTCTCCGTCTTGCACAAAGGGCTCTGGTTAAGTAGCCCAAGGATCAGGTGGGGGACTGGGGTTCCCACACTCGTTGTCTTAGCCAGTTCGCGGCCTCTGAGTCATTTGCCCCAGCTAAGCCTTGCTGAACTAGATGTCGGCTACCAGTCTGATTGAGTTAGGAGACTAAGCCAGATCCCACGCGTGTGGGCTCGGGCGGCGACCATCTCTTGTCCAGCTCACCCAGAGCAGTGGGCGCCCCCAGCGGGTGGGAGCGATTTGCCGAGCCGCAAGTGAGTGTTGCGCCTTCCACTCCTGACCTGCCAAGCCCTAAACCTTCCTTTCTACTATTGTTATGCGGGGCGAGAGGCGGGATGAGAGGTGGAGGCGCGCCGTGGAGGGACAATGCTCTCGGTCTCCCCACTGGGAGGACCGTGGGTTAGGGTCGGAACCACGACGAGGGTCAGGCAAGCTTAGAGGCTGGGCTGAAGGAACGAGGGCTCGTGCTTAGCGGGGCTCCCTCAGCCTTAGGCCGGGCGGAGGCTCCCGACGCCAACCGGTGAGTGCGGCACCAGGGGGCAGGCCCAGCGGCTGCACAGCGGGAAGCCGCCAACGGCTGCACCGCTGGACGCCTCTTGACCCTTTCTCAGTGACCTTCCTCGTTGCACCCATTTTGCAGATCTGAGGCTGGGTAGCGCAGGATCGCCCTGCGCGGGGTTTCGAGGCAGCACCTAGTGCCCACCTGGGGAAGGCCGCAACCAAAGCATCCAGGGCCAGGGCCAGGGCCTCCAGGACGCAGCCTGGAGCTAGGTTTCTCAGCTTGTGCAGTGTGGGATTGAGGGACGCCAGGCCACTCCGCCGCATCAGAGCCCTGCGGAGGCAGCAAGGAAAACGCCGGGTCAGTCGCCCGCGCCGGCCGGAGCAAAGGAGGCCCGGCAGGCCGAGCTTGGTCACGGTGGGCTTTACCAGGACGTGCACGCCCTCGGGGTGTGGATACTCCCCTCAGTTTGCTGATGAAAACACTGAGAAGTTCCGAGGTTAGCTCTAACCGGTGTAGCCCCGACGCCTGGACGTTCTTGCCCGGCAGCAACCGCTCTGCCCAGTGCTCGGCCTATGGAGACTGGAAAGGGCATGGAGCTTAACCGTAAGGGCGGGAAGGCGGTCTAGTGCAGCCACCCTGACCAGAGGTCCGCAGGTCTCAGTGAGGCCGAAGGGCCTACCCACTCGCACTTGAGCGGTAGACAGGGTCTGGGAGTTGAAAGGGCGCCCAGTGTCTCCGGTCGCCCAGCTGTGCCTGCCCAGCCATTTTCGCCACGCATGCACAAGTGAGGAAGCCATCCCAGGGTGAGAGATCCAGCGACCTCCCCAAGCCGGGCAGAGCATAAGGCCCCCCCACCCCGGGAAGGCGACCGCACCCGCCTCAGGGACGGCCAGACCTGGAGCCCAGGTTTAGAAGTCACAGAGTATGACCTCCCAACTAGCCCTCTACCCCCACACGCGCAGAGACGGGCAAGCAGAGCAGGGCCTAAATTACAGCCATGTCACACGGAAGGTTCCTGGGAACCTTCCCCCCAAATCCTGATCTCAGCCTGGGCGCAACTAAAGCCGAGGCCGGAGGAGGCGAGCATTTGGTGGATGCGCCTGCATTCTGCATAGGGAGCGTTTCCGAAGGTCGCGGCCGGCCGTTTTCCTGGTGCGAAATCCACGCGCCCCCGCTTTTTCAAGCCGCGATCGGCGACCAAGGTCCCAGCCCGGGGCCTCGCTGTCTGAATGCAGTCAGTCATTCCTAGTGGAATCCATCTCCATTCGCAGCTTCCACTGAGACACACCCAGGCAAGGGGAAGCAGGGTTCTCCCGTCCCGTTCTGGGTGGCCCTGCGTGAGTGATTTCTACGCTCAGCGCCTGGTTTACTGATTTGGTTAAAAAACAGTCGGCGAAGACTGTTCAAGAAAAACAACCACAACCATAGCTTACGGTACGGTACAGCCGTTCATAAATTTATCGCAAAAATAGAGACGTTTAAAAATGCTTTCCGTACAAAACAATCTAACTGAACGTCCACGAATGGCACAGGGGCTTCATCACGGTGTTGCTTGTGGGGGAAAGGGCAGGCACGGAACAGCGTCCCCCCTGGCTGGCGACACTGGTGGGCATCTCTGACCTGGACCGGGGCAGGCTTGTCAGTCTCCTGACATTGCGCATGGCGCTGCCTCGGTGACTGTACTGGTCCTGCACTTCAGCTGAAATGTTCGCTTGTCAGACAGGCTTCCGGGTAGAGAAGTCGTTATTGAACCCCTTCTGTATGCTCCTGGTCAGTGTGGGGAGGAAGTAGAGAGGGAAAAGAAAAAACACGTATTTGAGCTTTTTTTTTTTCCTTCCCACCATCCACCCTCCCATCTCTAGAGCAGTCTTGGGTTCCAGTTCTACCAATGGGGAGCTGAGCTGATAGAGAAGGCAGGGGACCAGATCCCTTAACTCTCTGATTAACTCCCCTCGCTCTGATCCCTTAACTGTCTAGACTAGAGTGGCGCTTTGTGCCCCTCGGCCCCACCTCGCGCTGGCCTTGGAGTCTGAACCACTGCTGTGTCCCTATCCACCAGAGATCGTAGCTGGGAAAGCTCCTCCGCAGTGGGGCCACTAGACAGGTTTGTGCTGATACACACTCCCCTGATTTTGAGGAGCCAAGTTTCCACGTAGAGTGAAAGAAAGTCTTTAGTTGGCCTTAACAGCTTGCAGAGCAGGCCCAGCCCTGGATGCGCATGGCGGATCTCAAGCCCTGCTGAGGGTGTCGTTTCGATGCGCAGAAACTCTTGAGTGCCTGGGACCTAGGTGGACCCCGGCACACTCTTTGCCACCTTCATCCGCCATTCGGGGGGGGGCGGGGGCGGGCGGGAA